TCGCACACTCGCTCACGCGCGCATGAATTATTCAGGTCACTTTTCTATTAAGGGAGCAGATGACTAATCCGCGCTTTGGCGGGGGGAGAAAATAATCCTCCTCTTGTCTCTTTCTGTCCTTCTAATGCGCCGTGTGCGTGCGCGTGCGCGTCTCCAGGACACGAGGAGCCGTGCGGCAAGCAAAGATTCCAGAGGAGGAGTCGCACGCCACCCAAACGGAAAAGTCCAATCACGCTAAGTCGTCGCTACGAATGACAAGAAGGGTTCAAATGAGAAGACGAGGCCTTCGGCGTTCGAGGATGCCGCCGAACATTCGACAGACTCGATCGGCGTCCGGAGAAAGGACATTTGCGCCGAACGCAGCTGTCCGACCCGACGGCCGACGGGGCAAAGGTTCGCTCGGCCGAAGAGGCCGAACGGAGGAGCCGGTCCGCTCTCGGGTCCTCTCTGGCCGCCTTTGCGGGCCCTTCTTCCCGTTCGCTGCGCTCCGTTCGGTCGGGCGGACGTGGCTGAGAACGGCGCCCGCCTGCCGCTCAAGTGGAAGGAAGCCTCGCGGCGATGCCGGCGTCCTTCGCCGTTGGGGAGACGCGTTGCCGTGTTGTCCCCGCGTGGCAGGTGGCCGCCCCGCCCCTGGCGCGACATCCCATCGAGCCCCCGACCGCGTTCGGCCACTTTCACGTCGACCTTGGCGCCAAAGTCCAAAGGGTTTTGGGGCCAAATCAAGGAGCAAACGCGGCGGGTCTCGGGCTTGACCCCGTCCGCAACGTGTCGCTCGGTCGGGGGGGCGGCCTCTCGCTCGGGGATTTCCGCAAGGCCGCGCGTGCGGATAAAGCGCGCGGATGGCCGCTTCCGTCGTCTTTCTGGGAACTCTGCGCAGCGTCGCCTCCGACCCGGCCGCGCGGCATCGCTTCCCGTTTGCCGGCGGCGGAACTGCGTCGCGCGGTGGCTCATCGTCGGGCGCTGCGGAGTCACTTTCGGTTTGCTGCGGAGGCGCCCGCCTCGCGCCGACCCAGATGTCGGCCCTGGACGACATCTGCCTCGGCGCCGCTTGACTGCACGCCGCCGACATCGGCGGCGCTCGCGCCGCGCGGAGGCCGGACGCGGGAAACG